CTCCTCCTCCTCCTCCTCCTCCTCCTCCTCCTCCTCCCCCTCCCCTCCTCCTCCTCCTCCTCCTCTTCCTCCTCCTCCTCCTCCTCCTCCTCCTCCTCCTCCCACTATGTACCCCAGAGCTAAGCTGCAACAGCACCTGCCGAGTCGTGGACTGGCGTCGCCATGCCCCCCTGTGTTCGTTGGCCCTCTCTGGGCCTCCTGGAGGGTCCTCGTCGACACGGGCAGATCCAGCTCGGAAGCCAGGTAAGGCCGCACCCTGGTCTGGGGAATAGCGCTCAGTGGGCCCTGGGCCCTGGAAAGGGCAGAGCAGTTTTTGAGCCCATTCCCAGAATCTGGCTTCTACGTGTGGAAGCGCCTGCCCACCGAAACGGAACACATACCGCGCCAGAATCGAAGTCGGGCCCGGGGAACCGCAACAAGAACGGCAGCGGAAATGAAACAAAAACTTGGGACGGAACCAGGAAAACACATATGACCATCAAACAGGACAGCAGGCGGCCCCGTCGTTTCCAGCGCCCACTCAGAAGTCGCGGGGCTGGCATTCTTCCGGGATGAGATTACGCTGCAGGGCGCGGGGTGAAATACGGCAGACGCTTGGGCACGCGGAAATGCTGTCCTGCGAGCGAACCAAGGATTGTTCCGGGTCAGCTCACGCAGAAGCGGGATTGCCAAGAAGGAGAGGGATGAGTAGGAGAGGAGATAGGAAATGGCCGCGGTTTCTTGACGTCGCGCGTCGTTGGCTTTCGTATGGTGGTTGGGCGTCAACACTACCGAACTTTTGACGGCGTGTCAGCGCGGATTGTTTGGTGTATGTCGTTTTTGTAGGCTTCGTGACGGGTCCTTGAGGTCATCATTGCCACGGGCAGATCCGCCTCCAAAAACGTGCTTAGAATCCGCCCTCTGTATAGATCCAGGTGTCGATTGATCTGGAGGGGAAGGAGGGAGGGGAGGGACGATGTGGAGAGGACGGAGCAACCAGGGAGGGAGAAAGGGGGCGATCGGAGGAAAAGAGTTTCCTAGACGTCAAGGACGTTTCAAAATCTCATCAAGCTGTCTAGCTGCATCCTCCATCCTCCCTCCATCCGTCTCCTCTGCCCTTCCTGCAGCAGCGTCACGACAGCACCCGTCACTCCCAGACCACAGTGCAGTAGCGTCACGATTCCACCGGAGCATTCAAACAAAAAGAGCAGTGCGCCATTGTTGACACCAGCGTCGAGCGAGGGGGGGAAGTGTTCGGAAATCCCCCGATGTTCTGAGAAATTGTTTTGGCCCTCGCAAGTGTTCGAAGCCTTCTCCGGATACAAACAACTTCTCGGAAGGCGCGAGTGCTTCTCTGAGAAGTCCCGCCGCCTCCTGAGAAGGCCCACTCCTTCTCCTTTCCCTTAAGTCGGGCCCGTCCCTCTACAGGAGGAATATTCAATGATACCGGAGAAAAAAAACAATCAGGGCTATAGGGCTAGGGGGTTATAGGGCTATTGAGCTACAGGGCTATAGAGCTATAGGGCTATAGAGTTGTAGGGCTATTGGGCTATTGGGCTATAGGACTATAGGGCACCCCGGGCACCCCTGGGCACGCCCGGGCACCCGGGCACCCGGGCACCCCCAGGCAACCCCCCGGTGCACCCGGGCGTGCGGCGAAATCGGCGGCCAACCTCCCCCCCGGGCAACCCCGGGCACCCGGGCACCCGGGTATGCAGCGAAAATCGGTGGCTACGAATCCGCTAGAACCCCTATAGAGGCAAGCTTTGATTGGGGATATATATATATATATATATATATATATATGCGCTGGGGATTATTTTTGTATTTTTTTTTGCCATTTTTGAGCAATTTTGGGATCATTTTTTTATTTTTCGCCGACAGTCCCCCTGTAGGGGGACACGCCCGACTCAACCTTCCCCCCCCCCCCTTCGCTCGCCGCCGCCGCTGCCCGACGGCATTCCTGCTGTGCCCGCGGCCTCCGGCAGCTCTCCTCGAGGGGCCGGCGAGGCGGCGACGGGCACGCGCCACGAGCGCCACGACGGCAGGGGGCACTCGCTCGGGGGGGGGGGGGCGCCTCGTGCGCGCCGCTGCGGACGCCACTGCCCGCTGGCGTCTTGCTGTGCCGGCGGCCTCCCGCAGCGCGCCTCGGTGGGCGGGCGCGGCGGCGACGGGCGCGCGCCGCGCGAGCGCCACGTCGGGAGGGGGCGGCTGCTCGCTCGGGGGGGGGGCGGGGGGGGCGCCCCGCCGAGCCAGGGTCGCCCCGTCCCTCCGCCGGAGGAGCGTTCAGAAGTAGCCAAAACATGTAGCCTGGGGGCGATGCCGTGCTTGACTGTTTGTTGATGTGTTGCTGACGTTGTGTCTGTGCCCTCCAAAAATCCGCCTGAAGGAGAACGTGCCCGACCTAATATATCAGGCGTTGCCTGTCGCACAATCTCCCACCAACATGCTGTTGCGTTGGCTCTCTTTTTATTTTTATTGTTATTTCTTTCTCTCTCTCTCTCTCTCTTTTTTTTTTCTCTCTCTCTCTCTCTCTTTCTCTCTCTTGCCCTTTCCCAAATCGGATCAGACTCCCTCCATTCTATTCTTAAATCCGGGGTAATCTTAGATGTGTTTTGAGGGTCCCAGGCCCATTTTGAGGGCATATCGGGCCATCGCAAGGCCCCGTTGGGCCATCTTGGGCGATTTGGGCGACACGTTGAGGCCTTTGGGAGCCGTCGTGGGCAATCGCGAGGGCTCTGGGGCCTGTCCTGAAGGGAAATTGAAATTTCTCGGGGGCAGAACGTGGGACAAGCAAGCAATATGGAACACGTTATGGTTTTTGTTTTCTCGGGGGGGTCTATTCGGTGTGCCCACTGGGCCATCTTAGCGGCGCCTCGGGACCACCTTCGGCCGTCTTGGCCCGTTTAGGATCTATTTGGTGCCTCCTGGGGCCGTCTTCGGGGCCTCTTAAGCCCTCCTGGCCGTGCAGCGGCGTCCCAATCGAATTCCTGGGGCAACCTGCAGCGGCCAACAGCTTGAGTGGCACTCACCTCCCGAAGCGCTTGTTCTTGTGTGGATCCCTCTTCCCCCTGGTGGACACTAGAAAAAAGAAAAGAGGCACGACTGGAGAGACAACATGAAACATATAGTCCGTAGGGCGATTCCAACCAGGCCGTTGCTGCGGATTGCTTCGAAGTGTGTCGCGTGTGCTTTACTACGAAAGATGTTGCGACATTGTTGGCATAGCCGCTGTACATGTTGTGATTGCTTGATCTGTGCGCATGTTGGCCCATGTGTCAGTCGTTGAACGTTAGTTACTGTTCGTCGCGCATTTATTTTATTATGCTACGTAGCCCCCCGCAGATGCTGATAAGAGTGAGGGGGCGGTGGGGACATCGGCACTTTGCGAGACTCTGGAGAAGCCCGCTGCAGGCGCCAAAGTTGCACAAATTGTACAACGAGCCCGCCGCAGGCGCCAATTTCTTAGTCAAGCCAATGTGGGTCGGTCGCGGGTGGGTCGCAAATTGGCCGCGGGTGCGTCGCTGTTGGGTCGCGGGTGTAGAGTCGGTGTAGAGGGCAGGAAATCCACCCCATGAGAATCACCCCGACAAGCGAAGCCGTTTAGTAAACGCGCACAAGGAATGATTGGAACGGGGCTAAGCTGTTTAGTCAACGCACAGCGCTGTTTAGCAAACGTCAATTGTCGAGTCCGGGTGGTTTTTCCTCCCTTGAGGGTGGGTTGCGGGGTGGGTCGCGGGTGGGTCGCGGGGTTGGTCGCGGGTGGGTCGCGGGTGGGTCGCGGGCGGGTCGCGCGGTGGGTCCCTGGTGGGTCGCGGGTTGTGTCGCCGGTGGGTCGCCGGTGGGTCGCGGGGTGGGTCGTGGGGTGGGTCGCGGGGTGGGTCGCGGGTGGGTCGCGGGTAGGACGACGACAACAAACAACAACAATGTGTTGGAGTGCTGGAGTGCACGATTTACGCGTGTTCTCGGTATGTGTTGCTTATTCATGATTTTGTTGTTCGCATGGTGGTGTGTTATCGGTGTGTTCTTGACCGTTGATGTGGACGCATGCGATTGAAGTTGTTCATTGTTTGGTTGTTCCCCATTCAGTGCTTGCACTGGAAGGGGTCCAAGCGGATGTTGAAAGATTTGGCAAACGTGCCCAGCCGATTTCGGTAGGTGGCCGGGTTACCGGGTTCCCGATTCCGAGTTCCCCGGTTCCCAGGTTTTTGGTTCCAGGCCGATCTTTGTGGGCGGCTGGGTTTCCGTGTTCCCGGGTTCTTGGTCGATCTTTTCTTCGATCGGTCTTACCATCGATCTTTTTGCCCATCCTTTTATCGACAGCACTATCGATCTCACGATCGATCTCACAATCGGTCTCACTACAGATCGCACGAACGACCTCGCGATCCATCTCACGATGAATCCACTTCACTATCGGTCTCACGACCGACCCTACGATCGCCCTCACTATCGCTATCGATCCCACAATCGATATCACGATCGATCCCACAATAGATCTCAATATCCATATCATTATTGTTCAAGCCATCCACTGATTGGGATTTTCTCTTGTGAAATTCAATACAGATGGTAAGTGTAATACGGTTGCTGGTTCTTGATGGGGAGTTGTTGTCGCGAGTTGTTTGCTCATGCGTTTGGTGTTCGTTGTTGGTGGAAGTTGTGTGTTCTCGATATGGGTTGAGGATGCCCACTCTTCATGTGTGATCTTGGCATCTGGTCCCGACCATGTGATCGACGTGTGGCCGCGCCTATGTTTGCATTGGTGCATGGTGCTGGTGTGTGGTATATGGGTGAGCTGTGGTATTGATGTATTATTCAGGAGAATCTCGCATACCAGGTGTAGGGCAGAGCGCCCCTTGGGACGAGAATTTCGGCCACATTTGCTATGTGGATTCCAGTGGCCCACCGTCGGTCCCCCAGCGTAGCGTCTGGATTTCTGGAGCCCCTGCGGCCGATTTTGGCTCAAGCCATTTCGGCCTCAGAGTGGCTCGAGTGCGCCCGCGTGTGGAGATCTCACAGAGCGATGGAGTCAGCGCGTGCGAGACAGCAGAGAGTGGCGGCGCGTGGCCGCAGTGCAAAAGCGCATCATCGTGACAGAGATCGGCATCGGAACGTGGTAGCGGAGCGTACGCTCCGAGACCTTTGGGCGTGCGCTCGACGAGCAAGGCCAGCAGTGCAGTCGGATGGCCAACCCGCTGAGGGACCAGGACCTTGGCTTGATGCTTCGGCAACCTCAAGAGGTTCGACGGCGCCGATGCGAACTGGACGATGCGGAGCTTCCAGGCGGAGTCGTTCTTTGGTCTCATGCCGAAGCCAGTGGGCATGAATGTCGACATCGAGGACCTGCTCGACTTCGCGGTGAGCGTCGACAGTGACACGGAGGTGGACATGGAGAGGATGGCGCGTGAGGTGAACGAGGTGGCTAAGACCATGTGCCACGTGCTCGTCCAGAGCGTCGACGGCAAGGCGCTTTATGTGGCAAGGTGGTGCGAGAAACACAATGGCTTCCTCCTTTGGCGAATGCTGCACCGCGAGCGCGCGCCGAAGGTGAGAAGCAGGACGACGAGCATGCTGATCGGATGGGTGGCGCCCTGCATGGAGGAAACTTGCATGACGAGGCCTTTCTTGGAGGTGCTGCCTGGATGGGAGACAAGGCTGGACGCCTACGAGCGCGAGACGGGCGAGACAGTGGGTCAGTCGACCAAGATCGCAGTCCTGGCCAAGGGGGCACCCACATCCAATAATGAGATTATCCGGAACAGCATGCCCCAGGCAGGAGGAGACTACGCGGCACTAAGGTCGATGATCGAGCCCTATGTCTACGGATCGAGCGGCTACGACGCGACGGGCCAGATCATGACGGAGCCCAGGGGCATTGGAGGAGGCCCGATGCCCATGGAGATCGGGGCCCTGCAGTACCGCGACGACAGGCGCGGCCCCAAAGGAGACAAAGGTAGGGACCCCCAAAGCGGCAAAGGTGGCGGCAAGAGCGACCCGCAAGGCAGTAAGGGCTGGAATAGCTACCAAAACCAGGGTAGCTACGGCGGTGGGAAGAATTGGAACAGCAACCAGAACCAGAGCAGCTACGGCGGCGGCAAGGGCAGAGGCGCTTCGAGCCCCAAAGGAGGAGGCAGAGGAGGCAAGCCCGATGGCAAAGGCTACTCACCTCCTCCAGCGCCGTACTTCAACGGAGAGTGCCTTCGCTGTGGGACGCGGGGGCATCGTCGACAGGACTGTCGGAGGCTGACGGCCGAGAAGAGGAGAGCTGAGCGTGAACGCGGAGGCGTTTCCCAAGTCTCGGAGGCGTCGCCCTCTACAGCCCCTGCTGCGAGCCCAAATGACAGCGCTTCGCAGGCGCATAGGCCACGAGCTTGTGCGCTCCAAGCGGTGCCGGATGATCGCCTCCAGACTGCGCTCCGACAGGAGCCCTTTGCAACCATTTCATCATGTATGGTCGGAGCGGAGCACTCATCAAGGGGATTTTGGATGGCTACAGGACCGCGCTGTTCGATTTAGGAGCAGACGACCATTTTGTCCCGGAGCAGATGTCCGCGCCTTCGGCGACAGAGCCGAGTGCGCGAGGGGGCGGCTTCAAGAGCGTGACAGGAACGAGTATGAGGGAGAGCGGAGAGAGATTGGTGGAGATGATCTTTGGCGACGTGGAGACCATGGAGGTCGCCCTGAGCTGTCGCGTGGGGAACGTCACAATGTCACCATCAGCGTGGGGAAGCTGCAGAGGGGCGGCTTCACGGTGGATTCTGGTCGCATGCGCGCGAGCAGGGTCAGGCCCGACGGCGAGGTGAGCATGGCCAACTTCAGGATCGCGAGGAACTCGTGGGATATCCCCATCCAGATCATCAAAGAATAGCGGCGAGCCCCCTGGGATGATTGCGACGGTCGACAGCGAGATGGCGGCGCGCCGAGATGACCAGGCACGAGGTGGAGACCAGGCACCACGGGGACATCAAGCACCAGGCGGAGATCAATCACCAGCTGGAGTACCAGATCAGGTCGGGGATCCGCCCCCGGCCCCGGTGGGCGTCGAGCTCGGCCGAGGATCTGGCGTCGCGATCTAGGCCACGGGGGCCGGGCGAGCCAACGCGCGGGGCCGAGGGGGAGCCGCGGGCGAGAGCGCTGGCAGGAGAGGAGAGGGGGCGCGCGAGGATCAGAGAGCAGGAGCATCCAGCGCGGAGGCGCGAGGAGCTCGGGAGATCCGAACCTGGACCAGTCGGGCCGCGAGTTCTTCCAGGGCCCACGGCGCCGCCGACGGAGGAGGCGAGGCAGGTGCGCTACCTGGCGCGCCTGCCAGCGGCGCCCTGGCGCGAGCGGTGCCAGGTGGGGCGCGCCAGAGATGACCCCAATCGGTAAAGCAGCGCATGCAAGAGAGACCTGCGACAACCAACGATAGCGAGCGACTTCTGCATCATCAAGTCCGAGGTCAGCGGCGAGGTGGATCCGAGCATGGAGGCACTGGGGCAAGGCACTGCGCTCGTCTGCGTGGACCGCGACACGGGCGTGCCGAGGTCTATCCCGTCTCGGTCCAAAACGGCGTCGAACTACCTCGTCTCGAACGTCGTGAGTTTTGCATGTCTAGTGTTCCTAGGGAGTTTCATCTTCAGGTTGGACAACGAGGCCGCGATTGTTGCCGTCGGCAACGCAGTAAAGGACACCCTGCCCCCAGCAGCGCGCCCGAGATGCAGCGCGCAGGTACAGCAGCGAGTCCAGCGCTGCCGTGGAGGAGATGATCGGGAAGATCAAGGGGCAGGTCCGCGTCGTCGCCCTTGATATATTATCCCGCTACGGTGTTGAGGTGAACATGGGCATGGCCATTTGGAGCTGGATGACCAGGCATGCGGGATGGTGTGTTGGACGCTCTCATGTGCGAGGCAGCGGGAAGTCTCCATACCCCACCGCCTACGGCCACAACTACCAGGGCGAGATTCTGCCGTTCGCGGAGACGTGCTTGGCGAGGCATCCGAGGCCTAAGCACAGGCAGATGAAAGGCTCCAGGGTCCACAAGGGGCAGCCCGGATGGACAAAGGCGCTCTGGGTCGGCCGCTCCGAGCTTTCGAACGAGCACATCACGGTTGGAGAGCGCGGCGCCATGGCGACGAGGACGGCGCGGAGGCTCGAGCCGAAGGGGCGCGCGAACAAACGAGGAACTTGTCAGGGAGATCCACGCTACGCCATGGGACCAAAATGCAGGTACCCGAGCGGCTCCGAGACCAGCGCCAGTGCCGACGAAGGCCGTCAGGGACGATGCAAGGGGACCCTGCACACCGACGCCAGGACGTCTGTGCCAGGTACGCCGACTCCAGGGACCCCCAGGGCACCAAACGCAACGCCAGGGGACCAGCAGGGGGCCTCTTGAGAGGCCGAGGAGGGTATTCATTGGTGGGTTCTAGAGCCATCCGAAGGAAGCGGCGTCGGGAGAGACGGCGGTGCGCGAGACGACGAGGAGAGCGCGGCGAAGAGAGTGGGGATCATCGATGAAAGGCGCAGCAGCCCGAAGAGAGGCAGCGACGAGGCTGACATCGAGGACGAGAAAGGAGAGAGGAGGCAACCAGCAGCGAGGCTGGCAGCCATCGGCGACATCGCCGACAGCGTGGATGAAACCATCGAGGAGATGTGCTCCGATGAGGAGGCGGAGATCGACGAGCAAGCCCCAGCCCGGGACGAGGACAAGATCGATGAGGCAAAGCATCTAGATATCAAGAGGCTCGAGAATTTCGGGGTCTCCCAGGTGGCGCCGACGGAGGCGCCGAAGGGCAAGCAAGTGATCACGGCGAAGTGGCATCTCACCTCGAAGGCTGGGGGGAAGATTTCGAGGGCGAGTTTCGTGGCGCGAGAGTTCGCCAAGTTCGCGAGAGGTTCGACGTTTGCGCGCCGTCTTCGACAGTGACGACGAGCAAGGTCATCACTTTCATCGCCATGCAGCTGTTCCTCTTGACCTTCTGCGTCGACTTCTCGAACGCCTTCTTCAATGCGCCGGGGCACAAGGAGTGCTACGCGCACCCCGCGGCGGAGTGGATCGAGAAGGAGGTCGAGGAAGGCAGGTCTGGAGAAGTGACGCGGAGGTTACTTCGACATCTTTGCGGGCGCCGGAAGGCAGGGCAGGAGTTCACGACGTGGCTGGCCGAGACCTTGATGTCTAGTGGTTTCGAGAGGCGCAGAGGCTTACCGCATTCATTCGTTCACAGGCAGAGGATGCTCTCCCTCGAAGTCCACGTGGGCGACGGCCACTGGGCAGGAGAGCGGACCATGATCGAGGAGTTCTGCCAGGAGTTGCACCAGATCGCTATGGTCGAGACCAGCGGCCCCACCAAGTACGGACAAGAAAATATCCACCTGAAGCGTTTCAGGACCTGCACGAGAGACGAGGTCGCATTCAGGAGCAAGCCCAGGTATGTCACGAGCGTGAGGAAGGCGCTGGGCATGGATAACTGTGGATCACAACCTACCCCGGGCGTCAAGGCCAACAAGAAGAGCAGCGAGGACCGCGTGGAGTTAGACGGCTAGGAAGTGCCGACTTGTCGAAGCTACGCCAGCAGCCTGCTGCACGAGTCCTTGGACAGGAGCGACATCCAGTATGAAGTTGGGGAGCTGACTGCCATGATATCTAAGCCAGCAGCGTTCGACGTGGAGGCGCTGAAGAGGCTCGTGCGGCCTTGGCCGGCACGGAAGGAGCCGTCGCGAGGTGGACCAGGGGCAAGAAGAAGGACGAGCAGGGCTGGGGCATCCACCTCGACGGGTTCAGCGAATCCGACTGGGCTCAAAACGAGGATAAGAAGTCTCGGTCGAGCGTCTTCGCGGAGGCGAATGCTTGCAGCCTGCTCGAGAGCACGAGGAGGGGGGCGAATCATCGCTCGTTCGAGTGCGGAGGCAGAGTTCTACGCGGCGACTGCCACGGCGAGCGAGGTGGTCCAGTTAAACGAGCTGTTCGAGTGGTTGGGGTTCCGCGTGAAGGCGAAGCTCTACATGGCCAGCAGTGCGGCGCGTGGAAACGCCGCCAGGGAGGGCGCAGGGCGCGTGCGGCACATCGCCGTGCACGCGCTCTGGCTGCAGCAGATCGTGAAGAAGAAGCTGCTGGATAGTGGCGTGATCCCGACGCTGCTCAACCCAGCCGACCTGGGGACCAAGGTGCACCCGAGGCAGAGTCTAGAGTGGCTCAGGAGGCGCGTGGGCATTGAAGTGCCCGAAAGGAGCAACGTCGATGAGCGTGATGGAGGCGAGGCTGAGGTGCCCTTGAGCATGATTCAGATGATTATTTCGAGTGTCTCGTGAAGCTGTTCTTGTGGCAGGCCAGGAAGTTGAGGAAATATCAACGTGCATGCTAGTGCATGGTGCGCTTGAGTTGCGACGCTTCGCATGTCCCTGAGCTCGCTGAGGAAGGTAGAGGCGTTACCTTCATCAGCCCGGGAGGCATGTTCAGGATAATCTCGTATACCAGGTGTAGGGCAGAGCGCCCATTGGTACAACAATTTGGGCCACATCTGCTGTGTTGATTCATTCGAGTGGCCCACAGTCTGTCCCCCAGCGTTGCGTTTGGATTTCTTGAGCTTCTGCGGCCCATTTTGGCTCAGGCCATTTCGGCCTCAGTGGCTGGCTCGAGTGAGCCCGCGTGTGAAGATCTCACAGAGCGCTGGAGTCAGCGCGTGCGAGACAACAGAGAGTGGCGGCGCGTGGCCGCAGTCTAAAAGCGCATCATCGTGATAGAGATCGGCATCGGAACGTGTATGGCGTTGATGTGTGTTCGTTTTTGGCATGTGCCCTTACGTCTACTACGCATGTATGTTTTTGATGCTGTCCTCGACGGGATCAGCGCTTGCATGCTTCGCATCTGCTGTTCGTGCCTGCCACTGGTGCGTAGTATTGATGTAGTGCGTCGGCGTGTACAATTGATAGATGGTCCTGGCGTATGCGATGGATGTATGTTTTCGATGTGGGGGGTCGGTCTATTGTAGTGACGCCTGCTCTTGGATCTCTGTTCCTGAGGGCCGTCCTAGATGCCCGTGGGTGGCACGACGCCTGGGCGGCGCGACGCCGTGACGCTTCCCCCTGGTGGGGCTCCGCGAGGCGGGGTACTCGGGGAGCACTCGGGATGCGTTGGGCTCGGCGGCCGCGGCATGTGCGGGGGGCGGGGGGGCGGGGTACAGTCGGGGCGCTGAAGAAGGAACCCTTTTCGTTGGGGTGGGGCTCGGTGTTCCCTGATGTTTCAAAGTTTGCCCCAGGCTTTCCTCATGTTTTCGGCGGGAAACCCAAGGTTCACTTATGGAAAAAAAGGGCCTCGTTCCTTATTTAGGGTTCCTTAGGTCAACGCCTCGACTGTACTCGGGGGGGCACCCGTGATACTTGGGGCCTGGCGGCCGCGTTGTGTTTGGCGGCCGAGGCGGTCGGGAACATGATGGTTGAGATCGAACGCCCCAGATTTGTCGGATGGGGCAAAGCCAGGAGACAGCACAAACCGCACAAGGCAGCAGTCCAGCCGCAACCCTCGCAGCCTGGCGCCCCCGACGGGGCACCAGCGGTTTTGAAGGTCGCGAGACCTCGTTCTTGCCCTGGTGTCCTGCGGGTGGTGTTCTGTGGCGGCTGCACAATGGCGCCTTCAAGGTCGCGAGCTCTCTTTCTTGCCCGAGTGCTGTATGGGTGGTGCTCTCTGGTTCGCGCCGTGGGGTAACTTCAAAGTTTGCGATGTATCGTTCTTGCCTTGGTGCCTCAATGGTAGTGCCATTTGGCTGCTGCATTATGGTGTTGTGAACGGCTGCCATGTCCCGGTATTGCCATTCTGTTTATGGCTGATGTTTTATGGGTGGTGCCCTATGATGTATGTGAAGGTTGCGGGTTCTCATTTTGGGCCTTGGTGTCCTATGGTTGTTCCCCGTTGCAGTTGCATTATGTTGTCTTGAGGGTTCAGAGTTCTCGGTCTTGCCTGGGTGCTCAATGGGCCATGCCTCCGGGCTGTTGAAGCATGATGTATTTGAAGGTTGGGAGCTCCCGTTCTTGTTGTTGCCTCATGGGTGGTGCTATTCTCCTTATACATTGGTGCTTGTGAAGGTCGCGAGTTCTCCTGTTTGCCCTGGTGCCTTCTGGGTGGTGGTCTTTGGTTGTTGCGCTACAGTGACTTTGACTGTTGCGATTTCTGGTTGTTTGAGTTACTGTTCTGTAGTTCGTGTTCTATGGCAGTTGCACCATGCTCCGTAGGAGTCGCGAGTTTTTTCTCTTGCCCTGACGCCATGTGGGTGGTGCTCTCTGGCTAGTACCCTACCGACGGTGCTCCTGAGCATCGTGAGTTCTGGTTCTTGCTTTCGTGTCCTATGGCTGGTTGCCTACGATGCCCTCATTGTTTCGAGTTCTCGCTCGTGCTCTGGCGACAGTGTGCACACTGGCTGCACACGGAAAGTGCATGGAGCGTCTGTGCGGGGTCCACGCTGGCACCCTGACCATTCTCTCTCCGCCCGTGGCACGCATGGCTCAGCACTCAGCACCGACTCGCCCCCGCAGAAACGCAGATAACTCAGCATCGTTGAACCGATCCCAAACCCCCACCTGGCCGTGGCATCCCAGCCCCACCATCCCCCCCCCCCACGTTGGGGACAGGCCCTGCGAAGCCCGAAGGGATCACCACATGTCCCCATCTGGGGGTAAACCCGTCAGTGGGACCAAGGCTACGGGAGGAGGAGGAGGAGGAGGAGGAGGAGGAGGAGGAGAAGGAGGAGGAGGAGGAAAAGGAGGAGGAGGAGGAGGAAAAGGAGGAGGAGGATGAAGAGGAGGAGAGGAGGAGGAGAAGGAAAAGGAGGAGGAGGAGGAAGGAGGAGGTGGAGGAAAAGGAGGAGGAGGAGGAAAAGGAGGAGGAGGGGAGGAGGAGGAGGAGGAAGAGGAGGAGGAGGAGGAGGAGGAGGAGGAAGAGGAGTTGGAGGAGGAGCAGTGGGGCTGGGGCTCGGTCCAACGGTGCCCAATAGCGACATGCGCGCGGCCGTGGCGGCTGCGCTCGCCGTGTTGCCGGCCGCCGCGGCGGTGCTGCGCAGCGGGGCGCGGGGCGGCGGCGTCCGGCAGCGTGCTGGAGCGCCGGGCGCCGCAGAGGCGCTTCTCGGGCGGGTGGTAAGGAGGGGTGACCCACATCTACTAGGGGAAAGAACAATGACATAGACATAAAAACTCGGAGGTCCGCGTGGACTTCTCGGATCGGCGTTGGACCCCCTGGCAGCTCCTCCGGCGCCGCCCCTGGCGCGCTCCGCGCGCCAGGGAGGATCCAACGCCGATCCGAGAAATCCGCGCGGACCTCCGAATTTCTATGTTTATGTCATTGTTCTTGTCATTGAAATGTGGGGTGAAGAAAAGGGCCCTAAGGGGGCACGTTAGGGCCGCCCCGTTTAGAGCCAGCAGGGGCCCGACAGGGGCCCTAAAGGGCCCTTTTAGGGCCCCATTTCTTCACCCCCCATTTGGGGCAACCCCCCGTTACCACTGGCCCGAGAGGTGCCGCACGAGGGCCCGGAGTACCAGTACGAGCAGTACGCGGACGACTGGCGAGGCGAGTATCCAACCTGCGCTGCCGCGCGACGCCGCTTTGGAGAGATCTGGAATCGGAGGAGGAGGAGGAGGTACCCCTACCGCTAATTTCCACTGCCTCGCTTGTTCGCTTGTGGGGGGGCTTCCTGGCAGGCGCTCTCGTCGCCACCGCTGGGTGCGCCTCAAAGTCTTGGTCAGAGCGCGCCCCGGGAGAGATCCAGGGAGCAGCGGTATCGGTCCCTTTCTGGTTTACCCATTGAAGGGTGCGTTCGGCTGGTGCGCAAGATTTGGTGCTTACGTCGACGTCGAGTTCACTGGTGGCTGGAGGGGGTCTCCGCCCACTAAACCACCCCAACCCAACCCGAAGGCCCCGACTTGCCGTCCATTTCCATTGGGGGGGGTCGGGGAACATGGGAAAGACACTCGAGCCCGTACCCCCCCCCACCCGAAATTCGGCCCTTCGGGTTGGGTTGGGCTGGTCTGGTGGGTAGGCAGTGGGGTGGAGGAGGAAAGGCGGAAGAGGAGGGGGAGGAGGCCTCCTGTAAGGGCGCACACTGTGCACCAGGGCTGGACCTAAGCGCTGTTATGCTGGACTTCGATTGCGTTTAGATTTTCCCAACCATTCTGTGGTGTTGGGTCCCCGTTTTGAAGAGACAGTCCCCACGTTCCTCCTTCCTCCCTCCTCCCCCCCTCCCTCCTTCCCGCGTTTCACACACCCAGTACAGCGCTTCGTGGCCCCATAGGGATCTCCGCCGAAGCCCCCAGTGGGAGCGCCCGCATGCGTCCCGAAAACCCAATTTGGCAGTTTCACCCACCCAGTACAGCGTTTCGTTGCCCCATAGGGAGCTCCACCGAAGCCCCCAGTGGGACCGCCCGCATTTGTCCCGAAATCCAATTTGGTATTTTCGTCCACGCAGTAGAGCGCTTCGTGGCCCCATAGGGAGCTCCACCGCAGGCCCCAGTGCCACCGTCCGCATGCGTCCCGGAAATCCAATTTGGCAGTTTCACCTACCCAGTACAGTTGTTCGTGGCCCCATAGGGAGTTTCACCGAAGGCCCCAGTGCCACCGTCCGCATGCGCCCCCCCACCCACACACACACACACACGCACACACACACTCACACACACTCACTCACTCTCTCTCACACACACACGCACACACACACACACACGCACACACACACGCACACGCACACGCACACGCACACGCACACGCACACGCACACGCACACGCACACGCACACGCACACGCACATGCACACACACGCACACACACATACACACACACACACACTTTGACATTACCACCGACCCAGTACAGCGTTTCGTGGCCCCATAGGGAGCTCCACCGAAGCGCCCGGTGGGACCGCCCGCATGCGCCCCACACGCCCAATTTGGCAGTTTCACCCACCAGCACAGCGTTTCGTGGCCCCAAAGGGAGTTGCACCGACGGCCCCAGTGCTACCGCCCGCATGTGTTCCCCCCCCACCCGGTGCAGCGCTTCGTGGCCCAGAGCTCCACCGAAGAGGATATTCACAATTGCGGTGTCCACAACTGCGTATGGTTGGATCTTTGGCCAGGATATTTTTTGGGCGGGGAGGTACAGGACAACGGGTAAAGGAAATCGAAGAACAAAGCGAAAGTCAAACGAACAACAGCGTTTAGGTCCAGCCCTGCTATGCACCTCCCCAGGCAGCCAGGTGACAACGCATCCGCGTCGAGAGAAAGCCTCGCGGCACAAACAGAATCAAAACATCATCTCGGTGGAGGGTCTTCGTTTCTGTTCGGCTTCTGGGGGGCCTCTCTCGGAGGAAGGCGTCTATCTACCACCACCGTGCCAGGCCAGGGCCGTCCTGGGTCCTAGGACGGTGTATAGACCCTCCTGGCCTCGCCCAGGAGGGCGTATACACCATGCCAGGGCCAGGATGGCCCTGGCTTGGCACGGTGCGTGGCATACATGTGGGCCCTGGGAGGGTCCAGAGACGGCTCGTGGTGAAGAGCCGGTCCTGTCGAGGGAGTCGGGGCCTTAGGGGGTCCACGCTGCGAGAAGTTCACGACGTCGGGGGTCTGGGGTTGAGAGGGGCGCACAGAAAGGGGGGGATCTGCCACGAGCTAGGGCGTGATGGGGTCGAATGTCGGGCGACGCTATTGTTCGCAAGTGCGAGACTGACAACAAAAACCAAGGGCCTGACACACACACAGACACACACACACAGACACAGACACAGACACAGACACAGACACAGACACAGACACAGACACACACACACACACACACACACACACACACACACACGCACCAACCGCGTCAAGCGTGGTGGCGGGCAAGGTGGGGGGAAGGTACCCTCGCTGGGAGGACACGAAGTCGGACACGTGGCGCCACGACGACACGAAGGCCTACCAGGACTACCAGAGCGACGGCAAGGCCAGCCCCGGCCTGACCGGCGACAAGGTCGGCGCGTACTTGCCGCCGGATCTGCCGCAGCAGATGGGCCACGGCCCGTGACGCGGCTGGGAGGTTCTGTTGGTTGTCTTGCAGCTTGCTGGCCACGGGGATTGCTCGGAGAGCTGATTTCGACGATTCCTTCGGTAGCAAATCATGTGAGCCTGGCGTACCCTCGCAAATCTGTCTTTCGAGTGCATTAGCGTCGAGTCGCGTCTGGGAGTCGATGAGATAGCGCCGATTTAGCGTCGGCTAGCGTCGATTCGCACCGATCTAGCGTCGGGTAGCGTCGACTGGCGTCAAATGGCGTCGAGTCGCAAGAGCCGACAAGATGGTAGGGGAGTCTCCCACGAGTTTCGGGTATAGCCAGGACCCCACTTAAGGTGAGCCTGTTAGTGATTGGGCCCCGAAGCCCAAAATATGGACTGGAATCACTAAACCAGGTCTGTCGTAGCTGGTGTTTTTCCGGGCGACGGCAGTTCCGGTTGGTGGAACGGGGTGGGGGGGGGGGGGCGTCGCCCAGTACACATCACTAAACCAGGTCCAACTAAACCACTCCTGCCAACGCCCGAGAGTTGCCTCGAAAGGGGCGCATTTTTGATTCACGGAGGGGCCCACCCGCCCGGCGGGAGTCAACCTCGCCTTGTCGTCGCGTCGCGACGGGGGTCGGAGCGCCTGCGGCGCGCGGTGGCTGCCCGCGACGGGGGTCGATGCGGGGCTGTCGGCGGTGGTGACGCCCCCCGATGATTATAAAGAAACTCGGAGTGGAAGCAAGAGTTCTCCGGTGGTCGTCTGCCGCGGGATCGGGCAATTCCCTAGTCGGCAGGCGATGGGGCTTCTCGTCCAATGTTGAGACATATCGCGCGGATCGTCTGCGCATCGGCGATTTGGGTTCGGGGCCCCGGAGAATTTCCCCGTCCAGGGCTGGGGTTACTAGCAACTGGGCACTAACCCGTGCGACCTCGAGCGACTGATTGCTGCTCGAGGCGCGCGCCGGAATGTCGAGGGGTCCACGCCAAGCCAGTGCAGCCCAATACGGCCGGATTCCATTGCCGAGGCCAGCAAGCCAAAGTCATCTCCGTCTCCTCGCATAGGAACGCCTGGCGTAGTAAAAAGGATCAGGGTGCTCGCCCGTGCTATCGTCGTCTTCGCCACTGACTGCTACCGCCGCAGATGCTGTCTCAGTTTTTAGCCGCAGCAGCGCAGCCGTCCTTCGGCGCCACATCAAGACCCAGACATCCGATGTCTTGAGGTTGTCTCCGAGGTCCCCAGAGTCCCGACCCCGCTCCCCGGGACCGGATTTTCATGACCCACAGCGGTCGAAAACGGCGAGATCCATCGTTCAATTTGGGTTTTTTCTGTACAATCAACCCGCACAGGAAGGATGGGCCACCACTGCCCCTTGGGCCCATGCTCAGCGACTTTCAACGGCCAGCCTCGCTCGAGAAACGTCAACTTGGCACTCCAAGGCCCTGGTATCCTTGCCGCGCATCTTTGTGATACGGGTTGTTTGGACGTTGGAGGTCAGCGGAGATGCCCGTGCGCACATCGTGGGCACGCTTTGATGGGCCCATTTTCCACCACCACCACTACCATGTGTAGGAGAGGGAGGGGGAGGCGGAGGAGGAGGGGCAGGAGGAGGAGGGGAAGGAGGAGGGAGGAGGAGGACCTCCTCATCCTCCCCTCCTCCCCGTCCTGCATCTGGTGGTGGTGGTGGAACATTTGCCCATCAAGCTCCGCTCGCGTCGCCGCTGAGCCTCGGGCCGAGTGCGGGGGCGGTGAGCTCGGGCCGCCCCCTCTTCGCTCGGCGAGGAGAGCGGGCGACCTCGCCTCGCCGCCCGCCGCCCGCCCCCGGGCGAGCGCTCCCTCGTTGGCCGCAGGGAATGGGCAGCGGCATTCGTCTAATAAGTAGGCTTGCGTCGGGCACGCCCCTCTACAGGAGGCACATTCGAACATGGTCGAACAGGCGGTCAGGGGGACGAATTTTCTACCACTTCCTCTGTCGAATATTTGTTGGGCATGCTACGCATGTTTAGGACGTGTTGCTCCAATTGCCCTCTGGGTGGAGTCGGAGTAGACGGGTTCGGAGGAGCGCGCCTCATCGCCGATGCATCGACGGTGCGGCTCGATGCGGAGCCCGATTTCCTTCACGCCGACGTCGCCGACGCACCGCCGACGTTGGCGAGGCATCGCTGGTGCATCGCCGATCCTCCGACCCTACTCCGACCCCATCTAGGAGGCCTTCGTACCCGCAGATCTTTGCGCTGCAATGTTGCCGCCGCGGGGGGGTGTTTTCCTTGGTGCGGGCCCCAGGAGATCCTCAGAGATGGATCCGGCTCGGAAAACGATTCAGAAAGCTGGGATCTGGGTTTAAATCGGGCGCGCCCCTCTACACGAGGAACATTCAAAAATAGTCAAAATAGTACGGGGACGATTTTCTTCTTATCCGTAAGGGCTTCGCCCGCTGCCGCCGGCCCCCTCTCAATGCAAGAGCGAAATCATGAGGCCTTGGCGCCGCCGTGAAGCAGCGTCGGGACTTCACGCGAAGACGATGAGTAATCGGCAAGACAAATTGAAATTCTGATGATATTGTTAAATGCAGTGTTGTATTTCGAGGGTTTTATGGCTTCGGATACGCGAATAGCGCGTAATTTACGAGGGCGTATGGCTTCGGGCTCGCAAGTAGAACACCATTTACGCAGGTGTATGGCTTCGGAGACACGACCATGGCGTAAGTTACGAGAGCGTATGGCTTCGGATACGCGATGATTGCGTACGTTACGAAGGTTCATGGCTTCGGGGTCGCACACATTGTGGGCCCCGGAAACGGCAGGGCCGTTTTTTTTACCGTTTCCGAAAAATGTGTCCCTTGAACATGGAACCAGCAACAAAAACGGCGTCCTCGCCCGGTCGCGGCCCCCCCGGGGCCACATCACCGATCCGCTGGAGGGGCGGGCTAGCCTTCAGTCGGGCACGCCCCTCTACAGGAGTCGCCGAGCGCGTTCCACTACTCGCAAAGTGCCTACTCGCACACTTCCGAACTAAACAGGTTTTCTTCTATGTAATATAGCGTAAATCCCCCGCCGCGGATCCAGGCAATTTGCGAGTAGTTGATTTGTGAGTAGTGGAACGCGCCTGTCCAAGGAGGAACATTCGAACACACCGAAAAGAGGATCATAGGGGGACGATGCTGCGGCTATGCTTGGCCTCTTGGGAGTCTGTGTTTTGACTGCTTGCTTGATTTCTCTTCGAGAACCCGTCTGCAGAAGGACATGCCCGGCCGAAGGCTCCAGGAGGCTTGGCCCGCGCGAGCTGGGCTCATCACGACGGCGTGAGGCGCCGACGACCCAAGTCGGGTGTCGGGGGCCTGCCCCCTGCCCCGCCGCAGGCCTCTGCCTGCCCACCGCCCTCGTGGACGTGGCGGTCAACGGCCTGCCGATGACGCTGAGGCCGACCACCGCCCTGAAGATGCTGGCCGAGAGGCGGCCGTCCTGCTGTCTGGAGCTCACTGGTCAGCCCTGGCCGTCACAGCTTCCAGAGCCTCCATCGCCTTCCACAGCTCGATCCGCCTCCACGTGCCTGCTCGCTCCTTCCGCCCGGTGCTGCTCTTCGGGCTCCTCTTCGTCTTCGCCCCCATCCCTTCGCGTCATTCCTCCTCCTCGGCTTTGACCTCCTCCTCGTTCTCCTCTCTCCTCGCTGGACTCTCCCCATCCTGCTCCTCTGCCTCGTCCCGCTCATCCTCGGCCTCCTGCCTCCGCCGCCCCACTCCCAGACATGCGATGTCATGATTTGGTCAGTACGCTTAAGTCGTGCACGTCCCTCTACAGGAGGAATATCCAAAAATAGTCCAAACATAATCAGGGAACGATTTTCAATGTGTCGCAGTTTTGAATAATTCTGACTATTTCTCATTTGTCGTAACGGTCGGGCTCCCTGGACGTCCCGGCCCTTTCCCCAGGACCAGTCGTCGTTTTTGTTGAGGGTCCCCCGGGGCCTGCTAAGGCTCCCCAGAGGCTGAACGCTGCCAAAATCTTCCGTCCTGGTTGTCTCACGACGCCAGCATGTCTGGACCTCGCCCTTCCTGCCACCCCTTGTCCTCGGCCGCGACCCAGAGGGGGAGCACGCCGTTGCTCGCAGTCTCTCGCCCGCCGCCGCGCAGCCATCGCGCCGCGCAGAGCTGCCCGCGGCGCGCCCGAGCGCCCGAGCGCCGCCTCGCGGCAGCCGCGACGGAGCTCCACGCGGCAGCCGACGACGGCCAGAGGCCTCCGCGGCGGGGCGGCCGCTCGGCGGGCGCTCCGAGGGCACCGTCCTTCACGCCGCCGGGGCCTCGAGGGCCGCCTCGGAGGCCGCGATCCGAGGGCGGCGCCAGAGCTCCACGTGGCGGTCGGCGCCCATCGCCACGAGCGGCGTCATCGCTCGTTGTCGCCGCCGCCGCCGCCGCCGCCGCCGCCGTCGTCGGCGGCGGCGCCGTCGTCGGCCTCGCCTGCCGCGCCCCACCGCGCAGAGCTGCCCAGGATGGCGCTCGGCGCTCGGCGGCGCCGCGGCCGCGGAGCGCCGCTCGCGCCAAGCGCGCCGATCGCGCGCTCGCGCGCGCCCCGCGGCGGAGCTCCCCGCGAGGGCCGGCAGCAGCACAGGGAACCCGACGGCGGGCGCCGGGGCGGGCGCCCGGAGCGATCTGCGCGGGGCCCTCGGGCGGCGTCTCCAGCGCCGCCCCAGGCGCGCTCCGCACGCTGGGGAGGTGGGTCTGGCGCAGATCCAAGAAATCCGCGCGGACCGTCGAAAGTTCATATTTGAGTCGTGTTTGCTTATGTCAGGCAGTGGCGAAGCGTCCTCGCTTGCCCATAGGCCCACCAAATAATCTTACTGGGAGCCGGCGGTAAACCGTCAACCATGTTACCGCCGGGACCCTCGTAGAGCTCTTGACACGCGAAGTAGTGCTCAGAATACGACGAGAAAGCTTACTTCTATATCAGCGTAATAACTCGAAGCATGTATTTTCTCGGTGTCGTACGAAGTTGGTTCCGCCAAGTGTTTTGATTGATCGACTACAGGGAATAAAAATCGGGGTTCCCAAAACGAGTGGTCAAATCTTTCACAATCTCAGAAAAAAATAACAACAAAACAAACAACGACCCCAGGTTCCCACATTGTCCGCCCGGGCCGGGTGGGCCAACTAGCTCCTTCCCGCGCCCGAATTCCTCTAGCTCATCGGTGCCGAAAAGCTAGGTATAATGACCTTTTGTGGTCTTCACGGAATGCTATTGCGACATTGGGCTGTCTTGTTTTTATCGCACCGGGCTTCTATGTTCTACGAACATTGTTTTTGTTCTTCGCAGATCTGTGGTTTCTGCGAGAATGTTGTGGTAGGCCTATAGGAATGCTGGAACGGTCGGTCCCTGCTCCGTTCTTCTACTCAAGCTGGCAGTCCCCACGCGGGGGGAGGAGCTGCTGCGGAGGCGTGGGCGCGGAGGGCACCGCCCGTGGACCGCCGCCGAAGAAGCGGGGGCGCCTGCGCGCGCTCGGAGCGGCGCGGCCAGGGTTAGGTCGGGCGTGTCCCCCTACAGGCGGATTCGGGAAGAAAGATAACAAAGAGTCCACGCATCATCCACACATTGAGACACATACGCAGGACATCGCCCCCCGCTGATTCATTGTTGGCGATGTTTGCACGCTCCTCCTGGAGGGGGGACGAGCCCGAGTGGAAGCCGGGGCGAGCGCTCGAGACCTCCCCGCGCGTGGACCTCGTGCCCCGCAAGGCCTCCCCGCCCCTGCCCCTCCCCCCCCCAATCAGGAGCGACAGAAGGACGTACACGCACATGAATCCACGCTGGTTTCGAGGGCACGCCCTGCGCAAATTTTCGTGTAACGCGGCCGGTCTCGCGGACCGAGAGGCCGTGTTCATGTACATAGCTGGGCGCGTACGTCCTTTCTGGGCTCCCTACCCAAACCGATCGGGCGCGGCCGGGGCGGACGCCCCACGCAAGGGTGCCGCTCTCCCGGGCAGCTCGGCCGGTCGGAGGCGGGCAGCGGCGGGGGGGAGAAGCCACCCGGACCCGAGAATTCGGAGGAGGAAGAGGTTCTCCAGATTTCGTAATAAAAGGGAAGGGGTCTGGACCCTCCAAGACAAGCCATTTCAGACCTCCCCCGTGGGAGAACCCTCCAAAACATCGTCCCCAGACCCCCCCAGGCCCTCCAAGACAGCCTGGAAGAGACCCCCCCGAAATGAGACCCCCCTCCCTTTATTACGAAATCTGGAGTACCCATACCTCTACGCCCCCGCCCGTTTTCCCTTTTTGCGGGCCTCCTGGGAGGCCCTCGTCGCCACCGCCGGATTCGCCGCGACATTCTGGTCAGAACACACCCCGGAAGAGGTCAGAGCTCCCTCGTGCCATCTGCCGAAGCGCGTGGGCGAAAACAAGGCGCGGCCAGCCAATCCTCACCGCTTTGCGGGAGCGGCGGCACGGCTCGTCGGCGGTCGCAAAGTGTGCAACATGGAGAGGGAGAGGGGGAGAAGGAGGAGGAGGAGGAAGGAGGGAGGACAACCAACAAGCGGCTGATACGCATTCCGCCTGGAACGTATCAGGCCGAAGGCGGGTATCCAAGGGGGGGAAGAACCATCCGGACCCGAGAACTGGAGCTTACTCAATAGCGGAACAAGGAATGACATAAACATCGAAACTCGGAGGTCCGCGAGGATTTCTCGGGTCCGCGCCGGACCTCCCTGGCGGCGCCTCTGGCGCCGCCCCTGGCGCGCTCCGCGCGCCAGGGAGGGAGGTCCAGCGCCGATGCGAGAAATCCGCGCGGACCTCCGAGTTACTGTGTTTATGTCGTTCTTCGTTCCCCCAACGTTTACTAAACAGCCCTGCCCTGCACGATTTGTTCTTGGGGTGCATTTACGACATGGCTTCGCCTGTCGGGGTGATTCTTATGAGGACGGGTCTTCTGCTCCTTAGGTATGGGCGCGAGGTCGTCGTCCTTTTGCTTAGGAGCGGTGCTCACACGCGACTTCGCAGCCCGAGGTTCATTGGGGCGGCGCCGCCCCGCCTCGGCGCGCCTTGCGCCACGGCTGGGGGGCCCCGCTGCCAGCCACGCCGAGATACATAGCGCCATTGTCGCACTCCTGCGTCCTTCTCTGCCCGGCAGCTGGCCTGCGGAGCCAGGCCCGCTGGCAGACAGCGATCGTTTTCTGATTCGTCGGTCTGCCGATCGGCGCGGGCCCTCCCCCCCCCTCCTTCCCCTCCCCGTCCAAGGAGCAGATCTCGGCAGTTTGGGGCGCCTGCTCCGAGCAGGCGGGGTCCCCCACCAAGGCGCTGTTGCAAGCAGTGGCGTTAAGCAGAGGTCTGAAGCCAGACCCCCCCCCGCTCCCCCCCCCTTCCGCCCAGTGTCGAATCGCAGAATCAGACAACGCTCATTCGGGCTCGCGGCAGTCTTGCTAGTGCAGCGGGGAGGCTGCCAGGGCAGGGCAGGTGCGGGCTCCACGGCCACTTGCGCCGCACCTGGCCAGAGCAAGCCTGGTCGCTTTGGAAAAGGAGGACGGGGGGCTCCGGCCGATCGCTATCGGTGAGATCCTCCGCCGCTTGACAGGCAAGGTCTTGCGCGAGCGCGTGAAGGCCCGCGCCCGCCAGACCCTCTGGCCGCTGCAGGTAGGCTGCTGCAGCTTTCCCGGCGCGGGGGCGAAGATTCACGCCGTGCGCCAGTGGTGCGAGCGGAACGCCAGCGACAGCGGCAAGGTGTTGCTCAAGCTGGATTTCGCCAGCGCTCCCAACTCCTTGAAGCGGGAAGCCGTGCTGCGGGCCGTGCGCTCCCGCTTCCCAGAGCTCGAGCGGTGGGCGTGTTGGACCTACGCGGAGCACGCGCTAAACCCTGCGCCTCGGCCAACACAGACAGGCTCTCGTTACAGGCGGGCGCCCTCAGGGGCCGCTCTTCTCCGCCCTGGCCGCGCACGACGTCTCAGAGGAATTGGCTGGCCAGCAAGCCTTGGACCTGCGCGCGTTCTACCTGGACGACGGCTTCCTGGCGGACCCCGCGGACGCCGCGGCGCAAGCGTTGGCTCTACTACAAGCCCGGTGCCCGGAGCGCGGTTTGGAGTTGAACTTTGGCAAGTGCGAGCTCGTTGCCCCGTCTGGACGTGCCCCCGCAGACCTCGGCGGACTTTTCCCCGCCCCTTTTGCTAACGGAAGCTGAAACTGGCGTTCGCCGCGGCGCCTTGCGGGGTGGGTTCAAGCTTCTGGGCGCGCCCATCGGCGACCAGGCATGCTGCGAGGCCTACGGACAAGGCCAAGCCCACCCTGGTGGCACAAGCAGACCTTCATCCGCAGGTGGGCCTCCTTCTGCGACGCTACTGCGCGAGCTTCAGCAAACTCGTGTACAGCGCCCGCACGGCCCCGCCAGCCCTGCACTCGCAAGCATTCGGCAGCTTCGTCTTGCACCAGCGTCGCGCGATCGCCGGCCTCCTGGCGGCGGACCTGACAGACGCGCAGTGGCACAAGGCGGCCCGCGGGTTGGCTTTTGCAGGCTTAGGCTCGCGGCGCTTGGGGGCCCACGCGCCCGGCGCCTACCTGGCGAGCCTGGCTGCAACCCGAGACCTTTGCGCCGCGTTGGACCCAGCCTCAGGTGGGCGCCAGAGGACGCGAGCACGAGGGCCGGACAGGCGCTCCTCGCCTGCAACACCCGGCTGCCAGGGCCGAGCGGAGCGCGCCCAGAAACCTTCCAAGGGCGCCACGCAGAAGGGCCTTTCTGCTGCTTTGGACGACCGCGACCACAAGGCCTGCTGCGCTGGCTTGGGCGAGTCAGACCTAGCGGAAAACCAGTCTCAACAGCTCCCTGGCGCAAGCGGCTTCCTGGAGGCGCCGCCGAACGAGGACCTTGGGTTGCTCTTCGAACCAGAGGATTTCGTGACTGAGGTCAAGCGGCGGCCCGTAGTATCCGTCTACGAGTCCGAGCACTATTGCCCGTGCTGCGACGGCGTGCGCGACAGGCACGGCCGCCACTCGGGTCTTTGCGCAGGCGCTGGGGGCCGGGTGCTGCGACACAACGCCGCCCGCAACCTGGTCGGTTGCTTTGCTTCGTCGGCCGGCTTCAACCTGGAGCTGGAGCGCCCGGGGTTCTTGCCGCCCCGGCCTGGCGACACTCAGGTCAACCGGTGTCGCCTTGCGGACGTCTACGTGCTATCTTGGACCGAGGGGCACCTGCTGCTTTCGACTTTGCGGCGTCTTCGCCGCGTCGGCAGGCTGCTTTCGGCATGGCTCGACTCGTCTTAGGGCGCGCGGCCCAAGCCTGCGAGGCGACCATGGGGATAACGTTCGCCCCCCCGGTGGCGGAACCGTCGGGCGGACTGGGCCCCGCGGGCGAGGACGCCTTCCGCCGCCTGGCTCGGTCCAGCGACGGACGCCTCGGAGACGAGGCGGGCGCCGGGGCGGCTCGCCTCTTCCACCACTTCTCTGTGACCACTCGCAGGGCCACGGCGCGGGCTGTGCCGCGTAGGCGCACGGAGCCCCCCGATTATGGGGGCGCGCTCACCGCTGCTCTCAATCTGCTTGCGGCTCCGGGCGACGACGTCGACGCTATAGCCTTCCTCGGTCCCCTTCCTCCGTTTTTCCGCCCCCTTCTTCTTCTGGCCCCCCCTTCCCCTCCCTCGTCTTCCCAGAGGTTCGGAGTCGTGATGCTTGGCGGCGCGGTGCCCTGTCCGAGGTGCCCTGGCGGGAAAGCGCCCCCCGCCAGGGACCTGCAACAAATCCGCCTCCGATGGGCGCAGCGCCCGCGTCAGAGTTTTTGCTAGCTGCCCTCATGCCCAGCCATATGTTTTGGTTCGGCGCGTCTTCCCCCTCCCTTTCCCCTCCCCTTTCCTTCTTTTCTCCCGCCCCTCGCCTCCCTTGGCGGGCGCGCGCGCCTGACGGTGGGGGTCGGTGGCTCAGGTCAAACGGCCACGCGCCCGCTTCCTCCGCCTTCCGGCCCCTCTCCCCCCCTCCTTTCCCTTATCCCCCCTTCCGGGGTATCTCCCCTGGTCGTCAGGCGTCATTGCCCGCGGTCGGTCTTGCACCGCCCCCCCTCCCCCTTGGCATTTGGCAAGGGCGGCGGGGCCGGACAGGTGGTGCACGGCGGTTTGTGCCGTCTCACCCCCCAACATCCGATGCAGCGCATGGCTCGTGCGAGGGAGCTGCACTCCGCGCCCGATGGGCAGCGCGCGCGGCCGCTGCGTTCGGCGCGGTGTCTCCAGGCGGTGCTGGTCATTTTCGAAGCCGTTTCGGTTTGGTCGTTGCCTCCAATCTCTCGGCTCGAGCCTTTCCCCCCCCAGAGCCTCCCAGTCAAACAAAAAACGTCCAGGCGAACAGAACCCCCCCGCCCCTCGAGGGCGCCTGGTTTGGCTTCCTCTGCCGAGCCGTCTGCGTCCGAGCCTTGGGCCTCGCCGCCGCCGTGCCAACAAAAAACCCGTCGTGCCGCCCCCGTACAGTCAGCCCGCATAGCGTTAGTTAAGGATGGGCAACCTTCCCAAGGGTACTTTTGCATTCTTTTCTCCTCGGTCCATTCTTGGCCACTCGTTGGCCGCACCCCGATCGAGAATCTTCGAAATTGGCGTCCAAGACCCGTTCTGATGGGCATCCTTAGCACGCATCCTTATCACGCACCGGTTGTAGCCGTTTTGGCTCAAAAACGCCCGCCTCCCCTCGGCGGTGCGCGGAGAGCTCTGCCAGAGATGGCCGCGGTGACCCGGCCCACGGAGGCGGAGGTGGGGATCTCGGAGTACTTGCAACCGGCCGTGCCCGGCTTCGAGGGCCGCTTCAAGGAACGCTGGAGCGACTTCCACGTCCGCGAGGTGGACCCCTCGGGCGCGGTGCTCAGAGGAGGCAACAGTACCCATACCTCGACCACTCGGCCGTTATCCCGTTCAGGGCCTCCTGGGAGGCCCTCTTCGCCATCGCTGGATTCGCTTCGAAATCCTGGTCAGAACGGGCCCGTGAGAGGTCCGGGGAGTTGCGTTAACGGAAACGGTACCTTTTGGTTTCCCCAGGTGCTGCACCTCTCCGAGCTCGTCACGCCCGGCGCGGTGGCCGCGGAGCTGAAACGCGCGGCGGCCGAGCGCCGCGATGCGCGCGCGGCGCTGGGCCCAGCCTTCTCGCTGGAGCCTCTGGGCCTCCGAGATGGGGTCCGAGTAGATGGGCTCGGAGGATCGCCCCGCATCGCCGATGCAGCGGCGATGCGGCTCGATGCGGAGCCCCTTGCGACGCCGTCGAGGCATCCCCGATGCATCGCCGACGCCGCCGGTGCATCAGCGATGCGGCGCGATCCTCCGACCCCATCTGGGAGGCCTCCAGGAGCCGGAGGTGGACACAGAGCTCCGCGCGGCGCTGGGCGAGCCGTGCGCTGGGCGCCTGTGCGACTTCCTGCGGCGGCAGCGGCCGGGGGGCCAGGCGGGGGCCCCCCCCTCGGGCTCCGAGCGGCCGCCCCCCAGCGGCGGAGGCGAGGGCGGCGCCGCCGAGGCGTCGGAGGAGCCACCGCCCTTCGTGGACTTCGACGTCGACGGCATCGGCGACGGCTCCAAGGATGGAGCAATGGCGAAGCGTCTTGGCTCGCCTACATCAGCTCACCAGACAGTGTTCTAAGGGCCGTCTTGGTTAAACACATCGGGCTCATGTTTGAAGGACATGGTTTTTGTTCTTAGCACGTTTCTGCGTTCTGAGAAACTTCCGTGGTGGGCCTCATTATACGAATGCCAGGACGGTCGGTCCCTGCTCGAAAGGAGGCCCGGAAGCGGGCCCACCAGACCGTGTCGAAGTTGTTCGGGTCCTTCTTGAACACCGAGACTGTGGAGGGGGAGGGCGACACGCGCACGATCCGGGTGTGGATGCGGGAGGCCGAGAAGCGCGCCAAGGCCGCCCCGGGGGCCGCGGCGGACGGCTCTGGCAGGGACGGCAAAGGCGCGGCGGGCGCCAAGGACGGAGGCGGCAAGGGCAGAGGCAAGGGCAAGGGCAAGGGCAAGGACAAGGGCAAGAAGGGCAAAGGCAAGGGCAAGGGCAAGAAGTGCCGCGAGGAGGACGCCGACGAGGCCGCTGGCGAGGGAGCGGCGGGCGCAGGAGAATTCGGGACCCTCCGCCGGGAGGGGTGGCCGAAGGACCGCCCGGATTACTTGTACTTCCGCCTGTTCAAGGAGAATTGCGACACCAGCGAAGCGATTGCCGGCATCGCCCGGTGCGTCGGCCGTTCCACGAAGCAGTTCTCCTTCGCGGGCACGAAGGACCGCCGCGCGGCGACCGTCCAGCAGGTGTGCGCCCACCGGCTGCCCGCGGACCAGCTGCGCAGGTCGGTGCTGCACCGGCTTTGGGATAAGCGAGTGCGCATCTCGGACACCAGGGGCAACGATAGGGGGCGAAAGGCGTAGGGGGGGGCACATCGACCCAAAGTCGCCCAGTGATCCCCAAGAGTGGCCAGATAGCCACACCCCGCGCAGGAAGGTGCGGTGTCGCTATGGGGAGCATATCGCCGATCTATCGACGATGTATCGCCGCTTCCAGGTCGATGCTTCCATGTTTAAGTCGGGCGTGTCCCTCTACAGGAGGAAAATTCAAAAATAGTCAAAAGATAACATGGAAACCATGTTTGAAACTATGTTCGAGTATGTTCGAACATGTTCGGACTCTCTTTATTTGTCGTCCAATATCCGCCTGTAGGAGGACATGCCTAGTCCCCCCTATCGTTGCCCCTCAGGACATGGAGTACCGCGCTGAGCGCCTTCGGCTCGGCCGCCTGCAGGGCAACCGCTTCGACGTCTGCCTGCGCGGCGTGCGGGCGCCTGGAGCGGATGCGGCTGGACTGCCTGCCGTGGTGGACCGCGCCTTCGAGGCGGTTGCCGCCGGGGGCTTCCTCAACTACTTCGGGCTGCAGCGCTTCGGCACGCGCGAGGTGCGCACCCACCAGGTGGGCACCGCCATCATCGCCGGCAGGTGGCAGGAGTCCGTGAGGCTGATCGTCGGCATTCCGGAGGGGAGCGGTGCTGGAGGAGGAGGAGGAGGAGGAGGAGGAGGAGGAGGAGGAGGAGGCGGAGGAGGAGGAGGAGGAGGCCGGAAGCGGCCCGCGGACGCTGGGAGCGCCGAGGGCGAGGCCCGCGACGACGCGGCGGCCGAGCGGCCCGCCAAGGCCGCCAGGACGGACGCCGCCGCGGCGGCCGCCGCGGCGCCGCCCGAGGGCGGGCCGCAGGACGCAGACGGCGGCGGCGGCGGCAAGCCAGTCGGCAGCACGGCGCCCAGCGGCACAGGGGGCAGGCCGCCGCCCAGGTGGCAGGCCGCCCGGGACGCGCGGCTCCTCTTCGAGAGCACCGGCGACGCCCAGGCCGCACTCGAGGCCATGCCCAAGAGCCAGCACCTGGAGCGCTGCGTGCTCGGGGCCCTGGCGAGGGCCCTGCCGCCCGTGGAGGCGCTGCGGCAGCTGCCGCACCAGGCGCTGTCGCTCTACGCCCACGCGGCGCAGAGCGCCGTGTGGAACGCCGCCCTCTCGCGCAGGCTGCGGGAGCTTGGCCCGCGCCCCGTCGTCGGGGACCTCGTCCTGGCGAGCCCCGGCGACCAGCCCGTGGACGCGGACGAGGACCCCGGGGCCACCGCCGAGGACGCGGCGGGCGCGGAGGAGCCCGGGGAGGGCGCCGAGGAGGCGGCCGAGGAGGCGGCGCAGGCGTGCCTGCCGGCGGTGCGGGCCCTTGCGAGCGTCGAGGAGCTCGAGGGCGTGGAGCTCTCCGACGTCGTGCTGCCCCTGCCCGGCTCCGAGGTGGAGTACCCGCCGTGCCTGCGGGCCGCCTACGAGGAGATCTGCCAGGGCCTGCTGGGCCTGCCGCTGCAGGCGTTCCGGGACTCGGAGCTGGTGCGGCTCACCGGCTCCTACCGGCGCGCGGCCGTGAGGCCCGCCGGGCTGTCTTGGCGGCTCGTCCCCGCCGCGGAGGGCAAACCGCACGGCAACCTGCTGACGTCCGACGTGACCAGGCTGCTTTGGTAGCGAACCATGGGAGCCTGGTAAGTATACCCTCTCAATTCCGTCAAACCGTCGATTAGCGTCTGGGAGTCGATGATACATCGCCGATTTGTCGT